AAAATGAGTTATTAAGAGTTAGAAAGTAGGGTTATTAATTGGGTCTAGGCTATAGGCATAGTATTGTTAGGCTTTAGGATTTTTTTAATATAACGTTGGGCTTTATTGAGAGAACATTGGGCCAAAGGTGGAGAAAAATGGGATAAAAATATAATTAATTGATTAATTTAAATAACCAGTCCAGTTTGGTTTGGACCCATTCCTATAAAGTTAAAATTAGAATTAGAACCAATCCAAATTAGTTCAATTCGGTTTTGGTTCGAGTTTGACCTTTTTTGGTCAACACAATTTTTTCGACTTTTTTTCGATTCGACTTGGTTCGATTTTCCAATTCGACGGTTTTTATGCCCACCCCTAGTTGACAGGGATCCACACATTTGTTTTTGGGCAAGCCTTGGTCATCACTCTCTTTGTGGGCAAGTGGGCTCTGGCATTTGAGTCCACCCATTTTGCTGTCTAACTTGAATGTGATCTACTACAAATTAAAGTATGTAGAACAAGATTTGAAGTAATATTTTCTACTGTATAAAAGGTTATATACATATTGTCGATTGATAAGTTCATAATTTCATACATTCGCATGCATTCTTTACTTAGTAACTTTGCTTAGTTTCTCTTTATTTTGAGTCACTTACCTCTTTTTGTTTATTTTGTAGGTTAAAACACCAAGAGATCACATTTGATTCAATCCATGCTTGTTAAGGGCTGATTGGGATAAGAGGAACATGAGTTTAAAGACAAACCCAATTTGAGCCACACTCCTTGTCAGTCCAGTTTAGTAGGTCATCTTGCAGGCCTCATTTCAACAACTTACACAGGTCAGATGAGGAGACATCTTTGATAGAAGTTGTTCCAATGGGTGTTTATTATAACATATCCAAATTTCAGTCCAATTGGATAAATTTGGAGCCCTCAGCACGTCAAAGACTCAACCAAGTTCACAGAAAAGTCATTGGTGGCTGCCATCACATTTAATGTGGCTACATCCCTAGAGCCATGTGCTACATATTAGAGCAGCCACACATGGGAGACAAATCAGCTTAAGAACTCAGAAAGATGAACAAAAGTCAAGCTTTCTATAAAGAGACCAAGAATAGTCCACCAAAGCATGTATTGGGCAGCTGGAGCAGTTGGCATGTAATGGGCAGTTGGAGCAGTTGGCATTTATTGGGCAGTTGAGGCAGTTGGGAGCAGCTAAGAGAGGTGTGCTTCACCAGCCAAAAGGGAGGACGAAATTGCACTCTATAAATGGAGAGCTGCACACTCATTCAAAGGATATAGAGACAGACATTCATTTCATCCATTACTCATACAAACATTTAGATTCCATTCTCCACCACAAATAGGGAAGAGAGCTAGTTGCAAAGGAGGGAGAGCTTGGAGCTGTCCTGGGAATTCCTTGCTACCATCATCTAGTTCTTCTCCTCTCTTTATCCTATCTATGTATTTCTTATTTTCTGTACTCATAGTTATGTCTAACTAATCCATTTAGTTAGGGCTTGGGATGAAGCCCTAGTCATGAATATTCAATGTTATGGATGATTTTATAGTTAATTGATTTCCTTGCCTTCATTATCAAGTTGGTAATCTCCAGTTTATTATATGCTTGATATATGTTTTCTTGGAGTAGCTAACTAGGATTTTATGCATCTAGCACAGGTTGGGAAGGGGTTTAGATTCACTACTCTCCTTTCACAAGCAACACTTGAATGACCTAAGAATCATTCAAGGGGTTAATAACCATAGGTTGACTAGGACAGATACCATGTTCTAGGACTTGTGTGATTATCATATTCTCAAGGAGCTTAATGACTCTTGTATGCTTTATTTTAAGTAGATACCATGCTTAGGTTGCATATTAGAGATCACGTGTTGTGTAGATACCATGCGTAATCACATGCCTTAGGAGAATCATGCGTCCTGCACCTAGATACCATAGGCTTGTATGCGATAATCTATTGTTGATGAAGCTTAAGTCAATTTCTATGCATTCATAACTTTGATAGGAATACTAGTGGTAGATTCCAAGGCTCTAAAACCTCTCAATCATTGTTTCACAACTTGTTGATTGCTGCTAGCGGTTACTTTCCAGCACTTTCTTTTCACTTTCATGTCATCATTTCAACAACAAAACCCCCCATTTCGAGTGTCTAAAAACACAGGATTTTGTGTGTTGTTCCAGACACCTATGATAAAACTTGGATTTAATACTAATATGGTTTTTCAGAAATTGACAGTCATTGTTTAAGGTATTTGTGTGATTCTGAGTTAACTCTGTCTAGCATGCTATCCTTGAACTTATTGAGCACTTTGCCAAGTTAATCCAATTTCTTGCTACTTGAAGACGTTATGCAATTCTACTTATCTCATGATCTTGGTTTCGTACTCTAGAACTTATTTGAATATCTTTCGAGACATTATGTTGCCACACAATGCTTAGGAAGTGATTTAGGCCATGTTTGAACCGTTTGAGCCTTTCTAACCATCCCTCTTCATGTATTCATCCTTAGTCAACCCATTTGAGCCTAAGTTAAGCCTTTCTTTGTGTAAACCATTTTCACCATAATGAACCTCTGTTTTCTTATCCTTACTTATTTTATGAGCAATTAAAGCTATCTTAAAAAGAAAGTCATAAACAATGCAAGGTTTTTGGAGCAAAAGTGAATCATTAGTGCCATAACCCAAGTGTTGAAAAGAAATAAGTTTGGGGGTTTGGTAACTAATCAAAAGAGGTAATGAAGTGTGACCAATATAGTCATGGCCCTAGGGTGCTATAAAAGAGAAGATCATGGTGATCTAGGGTAAAGAGCCACAAAATTAGGCCAAATAAACAGATATGAAGGTGCTGAAATTCTGTGGAAAATATCCTCATGTATGTGTTCCTTGCTTGTTACAAGGATCAGTAATCTCTCATGCTCTACTTATGCTTTCGTTGTGCTCGAGATATTGTTATATATCCATATCCCCTCTTTCATTCAACCACTACCCTAAGCCTCATTACAACCATTGTAAAGTCTTTTTGATCCTTGGTATTAGATGGTATTACTGTGGATAGCTGATTTGATAATGAGCTTATAGGGTTCGGAATTCTTAATTTTCTCTAAGTGTGTGCGCATGTACTTATTTGAGTTGCAGGTATTGTTCTGATTCGACTTTCACACACTACACTTAAGGATGTCATTGTGAGCTTTGCTTACTCTTGAATCATGTGTGGAACTTAGATTGTGATTGTTGTGTTTCTTTGGAACCATATACTTCGGTGATTCTTTGAGGATATTGTTGGCAAGGCTAGCTTCTTATTTCCTATTTTCTAAATGGTGGTTTTACTTTGTTTCGCTTGAGGACTAGCAAAATCTAAGTTTGGGGGTATTTGATAAGTTTATAATTTCATACATTTGCATGCCTTCTTTACTTAGTGACTTTGCTTAGTTTCTCTTTATTTTGAGTCACTTACCTCTTTTTGTTTGTTTTGTAGGTTAAGACACCAAGAGATCACATTTGATTCAATCCATGCTTGTTAAGGGCTGATTGGGATAAGAGGAATGTGAGCTTAAAGACAAACCCAATTTGAGCCACACTCCTTGTCAGTCTAATTTAATAGGTCATCTTGAAGGCCTCATTTCAGCAACTTACATAGGTCGGATGAGGAGATATCCTTGACAGAAGTTGTTTCACTAGGTGTTTTTTATAACATATCCAAATTTCAGCCCAATTGGATAAATCTGGAGCCCTCAGCACGTCAAAGACTCAACCATGGTCACAGAAAAGTCATTGGTGGCTGCCATCACATTTAATGTGGCTACATCCCTAGAGCCATGTGCTACACATTAGAGCTGCCACACATGGGAGACAAATCAGCTTAGGAACTCAGAAAGATGAACGAAAGTCAAGCTTTCTATAAAGAGACCAAGAATAGTCCACCAAAGCATGTATTGGGCAGTTGGAGCAGTTAGCATGTATTGGGCAGCTGGAGCAGTTGGCATTTATTGGGCAGTTGAGGCAGTTGGGAGCAGCTAAGAGAGATGTGCTTCAACTGCCGCAACTGCCTCAACTGCCTAATAAATGCCAACTGCTCTAGCTGCCCATTGCATGCCAACTGCTCCAGCTGCCCATTACATGCCAACTGCTCCAGCTGCCCAATACATGCTAACTACTCCAGCTGCCCAATATATGCTTTGGTGGGACTATTCTTGGTCACTTTATAGAAAGCTTGACTTTTGTTCATCTTTCTGAGTTCCTAAGCTGATTTGTGTCCCATGTGTGGCTGCTCTAATGTGTAGCACATGGCTCTAGGGATGTAGCGACATTAAATGTGATTACAGCCACCAATGACTTTTCTGTGAACTTGGTTGAGTCTTTAACGTGCTGAGGGCTCCAGATTTATCCAATTGGGATGAAATTTGGATATGTTATAAAAAACACCCATTGGAACAAGTTCTATCAGGATGTCTCCTCATCCGACCTGTGTAAGTTTTTGAAATGAGGCCTTTAAGATGACCTACTAAACTGGACTGAGAAGGAGTGTGGCCCAAATTGTGTTTGTCTTTAAGCTCATATTCCTCTTATCCCAATCGGCCCTTAACAAGCATGGATTGCATCAAATGTGATCTCTTGCTGTCTTAACCTACAAAACAAATAAAAAGAGGTAAGTGACTCAAAATAAAGAGAAACTAAGCAAAGTCACTAAGTAACGAAGGCATGCGAATGTATGAAATTATGAACTTATCAAATACCCCCAAACTTAGATTTTGCTAGTCCTCAGGTGAAACAAAGTAAAACTGTAATAACCCAAACCTTAATTAATATTTAACTATTAGTTTATTAAGGGGAAATGACAATTTTGCCCTTGGAGTAAGTTATTAAAGAAAAGTTGACTTTTGACTGAAGAAGAATTTGACCATTCCACTTGCACTGTTGCGTAGAGCGCGACGAAACGAGTCCGTAGACATGGAATGGACTCAAATCGGAGTTGTGACGAAGAAGTTATGATCAAAGGAAGTCTAGTGGCAGAACCGTAATTTTTGCAAAGCCAGTTTTTAAAAACCTGATCACTCTCTCTCCTCTCACGCAGAACCACCTCTCTCTCTCCTCTGTTCAGGCCAACTACGACCTCTGTGGCTTCCGATGAAGATTCCGGCCACATCCGGCCGCCTACGGCCACTATTTTAGATCCCTTCTCTTCGTTTCTCTCTCCTCTACACATCTATACCAAATTGCAGCCCCAAATCTAAGGAAATTAAAGCCAAAATCCAAGCCAAAGTGAGCCCAAAAACGGGCTGTTTCAAACAGTAAATTTCGGGGTATTTTCCGGTCATCTCCGGCTGCCAAAGGTCAGGTAATTGCACCTAAAGTACTCTCGTACCTTTCGTTTGTGTTATCCTTTGAAAACCCAGCGTGAATCCATTCCAATTTCTTTGATTTCGAAACTAAAATTTTCTAGGTTTTCAAGAGATAGAAAGCTTCGTTCGAGGGCTCTAGAGGTGGAATTGATCATCGAGCCAAGGTATAAAGTTACTCCCCTTGATGTGCTTAATCCGTAGGTATGATTATTGGCCGGTGGTTTGGAGTTTTCCGATCGCCGGAAAATTACTCAATGCACCCACCGGTGGTGGCGGCGCATGGCGTCACGTCGGCGGGGTGCCAAGGCTGGGTTTTTATCCTAGAATGTTCTCCACATCGTCCCGAGCACGACGGTACGCTCGGATTTCAATTTGGTTACCGTTTGAGCCTTGAACGGATTTGTACATATTGTGCGTTATCCTGGTTCAATAGCTTCGAACCGTTGGGTCGTGATCACTTTCAGATATGTTAATCTAGACCTTGCTAGGATTGTATAGGATTCGACGGATCGTGAATCGGAGTCCCGGATACTCCGAAATCGAGAACCCTAGGGTTAAGGCTTTAAGAACCGTTGATCGTGCGATTGTGACCAATCCCACCGTTCTATCGAGACCAGACTCACGGGACTTGTCTCCTAGGATTAAAGGAACGCAATGTGGGCATAGGAATAACCTCAATTTGATGCACGCACTTTTAGGAGCCGGGGGTCAGGGTTTTATTTAAATATTTATACCGAGTAGTTTTATTAGTATATATTATTATGGTAATTGAATCAGGCACTCAGGCACCAGTTGACCCGCAGGAGGGACCTTCAAAAGGTCCAGCGAGCTCGGACCAGCAGTGAGTGGACTCTTTGTTTTCATAAATGAATTTATGCAATTTAGTTTCAGTATTTGATCTTGAATAATTTTAATTCAAAGAATAGTGTTTTATAAGTGAGACATGCTTTTAAATATTTTGATTTGCATGTTGCCGAGTGGGAAAGAGAATTTTAGTTAAACATCAGATAAATGGCAACAGAGTCTAGCCTTAACAGAAATTCAGTTATTTATCAGATCTTTCAAAAACTTTGCTTATTATTATTATTATTATTTTCTAAGCCACCTTAGGTACCCAGATATACAGATGTTGCCTTCGGATATGATGATGTCCATGGACATCCAGGTCGCCTTCGGATTTTATCAATTGCCTTCGGTTTAGTCAGCATGCTTGACAGTTGCCCCACGAGTTCTATGGTACCCGAACTCGTGTAGAGCGAGGATGCGGATCAGGTTGACCAAGGTCCCCTGAATCCTACGAGGTTGTGGCTCGGATTGACTTTTTGTCACCGAGACCTGCTAGGACGTGTCACCAATGGTGATGCGAGGGGAATTGACGGATATTAGGAATTGATGGAAATAAAGGGGTACACCTAGGTGGTAGTTTTAAACTGATTTCAATGCTTTTAAGGGTTTAAAAGATGACCATGAGTATGATTGGCATATATTTATGAATATATGTGTGTGCTTTGATTTCAGTACGAATATAATGAAGAGAATGATTTAGTTTTGCATAACCGTTTTTACACTGGGGTTAGTATGTTCTTATGTATTTTCTAAACTTTGTTTATGGGTCCACTCACGTTTTTAATGTTTTGCGCCCTCAGGCTGTAGACGTGCATCTGAGAGCCACAACAGGGCAGTTCCCGCTTCCCGCTCTCCCTCAGTTTGATGTAGGGATTCTTGGTTCACAAGTTGTTTCCTTCCTTGTAAATTGATTTGTTTAGTTGCTCTGATGTTGCCCTAGAACTTGTTTTACTGTTGGAACATACTTATTTTTGTATACTGGCAGTTGGTGTATATATTTAAGTGCTTGTTGACAGGTGTAAATTTTTGGAAACGTTCGATTTACAGAGGAGACTGCCGAATTTTCGGTAGAAGTCAAGACTTAAGGGAAGTTAAATTTTTAACAAAAAGGGCAACAGGGTCATTTGTGCTCGGCACCCACCAGGTGTCGATCACGCACAGGGTTCGGCTCGGATTCCAAAGTGGAATTTGGGTCGGGTCCTGTCAACTTGGTATCAGAGCATTAGGTTTCACTTCCTGTAGACTCCGCACTTCGTGCATTCCAGTTTTAAGGAGTATTTGTTTCTTGTGACAGTAAGCATGGGCCCTAAAAGTGGTGGCTTCCGTAGAGGGACCAGACAGTCGTCCCGAGTCAGGGGACAGGATCCCAAATCCGAGTAAGAGGAATTCATTATCCCATCACAGGTACTTAAACCGGTAGAGCTGTCGTATGGTGGAAGTCCATTAGGGGCTGCACTTGCCCTTTCCACTATGCCCGGAGATCCCCAATTTCCAACAGACGTTAGGGATGTTGACACAGGCTCTAGCCAGGACCAGGTAGCCTAGAGATCCCTCCTTGAGTTATGTTGATCAGGCTAAGAGGATTGGGGCCACCGATTTTGATGGTGTTGGTGATCCAGCAGTAGTCGAGGAGTGACTAAAAAGGATGGAGCGAATCATGGAAGTGATGAGGGTTCCCCACGATCATAGAGTGGCCCTAGCCACATTCTTTTTGGTCAGAAATGTTAGACATTGGTGGAAATCAGTTAAAAGGAGATATCGGGATCCGTCGGCCATCACTTGGCAATTATTTCGAGCCGTATTTGATAGTCAGTATTATCCACTGGCTTACCAGAATTTGAAAATGGAAGAGTTTCTGCAGTTGGAACAGGGAGCGATGACAGTACTTGAGTATGAGAAAAAGTTCAACGAGTTGTCTAAGTACTGCCTTCCATTAGTTCAGGACGAGAATAAGAAATGCCAGTTATTTACCAGAAGGTTGAAGGCCTCCATCCGAGACATTGTGATTAGTCAGCGGCTGACTAATTTTGGTGATTTGGTGATGTCTGCTTTACTAATTGAGAGCAGCCAGATGATGGTCAAAGCACGGGGTGAACCTCGTAGGAGACAGTTTGATATGGTTGGTCCCAGTCAGGGGTCATCCAAGAAAGGTAGTTATAGCTCTGGGTCATCTAGTGGCCGCAGTTACGGAGGTTTCCGACCCGGATTTAGTTCTAGTGGAGGTTCCAACCAGAGTGGCAATTCTAGGAACAGCTCTGGAAGGGGTGTAACCGGAGGTACTGGGAGACAGCTACAGACAATTTCTAGTAGGGGGAGGTATTGCTGGAGGCAGATTTGATTCCCTTGGAAATGGTTGACTTTGATGTCATTCTAGGGATGGATTGGTTAGCCAGACATCATGCCTCAGTAGATTGCTTCCGAAAAGAGGTTATTTTCCGTAGTCCCGGACGACCTGAAGTGACATTTTGTGACAAGCATAGAGTGCTTACATCGTGCCTCATCTCAGTTATGACGGCAAGACAGTTGCTCAGAAAAGGATGTTCAGGATATTTAGTGCATGTTATTGATACCCGGGATAATGGATTGAGGTTGGAGGATATTCCAGTTGTACGGGAATTCCCAAATATGTTCCGGTGGATTTTCAGGGTTTACAGCCTCACAGAGAGATTAAGTTCACTATTGAGCTCGTTTTGAGTACGAATCCTATTTCTCAAGCACCATACAAAATGACACCAGTAGAGTGAAGGGAGTTGAAGATTCAGTTACAGGAGCTGGTGGATAAGGGTTTCATCCGACCTAGTTTTTCACCTTGGGGCGCTCCAATGTTATTTGTTAAGAAGAAGGATGGAACCATGAGGTTATGTATTGACTACAGACAGTTGAACAAGGTCATAGTGCGAAATAAGTATCCTTTGCCTCGTATTGATGATTTATTTGACCAGTTAAGGGGTGCCAATGTATTTTATAAGATCGACTTGAGGTCTGGATATCATCAGTTACGGATTAGAGAAGGGGATGTGCCTAAGACAACTTTCCGAACGAGATATGGGCACTATGAGTTCTTGGTGATGCCCTTTGGGTTAACGAATGTGCCAACTGCGTTTATGGATCTCATGGACAGGGTGTTCCGACGTTACTTGGATCACTTTGTAATTGTGTTCATAGACGACATTCTGGTGTATTCTAAGAGCCAGAAAGCACACATGAAGCATTTAGAAATTGTGCTGAAGACTCTGAGGAGGAGACAATTGTATGCCAAATTCAGTAAATGTCAGTTCTGGTTGGACAGAGTTAGTTTCTTGGTGATCTCTACAGAGGGTATTTATGTTGATCCCCAGAAGATTGAGGCAGTAATGAACTGGCCACGACCAACCAGTGTTACTGAGATACAGAGTTTCCTTGGGTTAGCTGGGTACTATCGTCGCTTCGTGGAAGGGTTTTCTGCTATAGCGGCGCCTCTCACTCGTTTGACAAGGAAATGAGTGAAGTTTGAATGGTCAGATGGTTGTGAGGAGAGCTTCAATGAACTCAAGACCAAATTGACCACTGCTCCGATTTTAGCACTTTCGGATGATAGCGGGAACTTCGTTATCTACAGTGATGCATCCCAACAGGGACTTGGTTGTGTGCTAATGCAGCCTGGTAGGGTGATCGCTTATGCTTCTAGGAAACTTAAGAAGCATGAGTTGAATTACCCTGTTCATAATTTAGAGTTAGTTGCAGTGGTTTTTGCCTTGAAGATTTGGCGACACTATCTTTATGGAGAAACCTGCCGGATTTTTACAGATCAAAAAAGTTTAAAGTATTTATTCACTCAAAAGGAGCTGAATTTGAGGCAAAGAAGATGGCTAGAGTTGATTAAAGATTATGATTGCACTATTGAGCATCATCCGGGAAGAGCTAATGTTGTAGCTGATGCACTCAGCAGAAAATCCTCAAGATCTATAGCTTATTTAGTTTTGCATAACCGTTTTTACAGTGGGGTTAGTATGTTCTTATGTATTTTCTAAACTTTGCTTTTGGGTCCACTCACTTTTTTAATGTTTTGCGTCCCCAGGCTGTAGACGTGCATCTGAGAGCCACCACAGGGCAGTTCCCGCTTCCCGCTCTCCCTTAGTTTGATGTAGGGATTCTTGGTTCACAAGTTGTTTCCTTCCTTGTAAATTGATTTGTTTAGTTGCTCTGATGTTGCCCTAGAACTTGTTTTACTGTTGGAACGTACTTATTTTTGTATACTGGCAGTTGGTGTATATATTTAAGTGCTTGTTGACAAGTGTAAATTTTTGGGAACGTTCGATTTACAGGGGAGACTGCCGAATTTTCGGTAGAAGTCAAGACTTAAGGGAAGTTAAATTTTTAACAAAAAGGGCAACAGGGTCATTTGTGCTCGGCACCCACCAGGTGTCGATCACGTACAGGGTTCGGCTCGGATTCTAAAGTGGAATTTTGGTCGGGTCCTGTCAAAAACTACAATTTAGAAAACAGGAAATAAGCAGCTAGCCTTGCAAACAATATCCTCAAAGAATCACCGAAGTATATGGTTCCAAAGAAACACAACAATCACAATCTAAGTTCCACACTTGACTCAAGAGTAAGCAAAGCTCACAATGACATCCTTAAGTGTAGTGTGTGAATGCCGAATCAAAAAAACACCTGCAACTCAAATAAGTACATGCGCACACTCTTAGAGAAAAATCAAGAATTCCGAACCCCATAAGCTCATTATCAAATAAGCTCTCCACAGTAATACCATATAATACCAAGGATCAAAAGGACTTTACAATGGTTGTAATGAGGCTTAGGGTAGTGGTTGAATAAAAGAGGGGATATGGATATATAACAATATCTCGAGCACAACAAAAGCATAAGTAAGAGCATAAGAGATTACTGATCTTTGTAACAAGCAAGGAACACATACATGAGCATATTTTCCACAGAATTTCAGCACCTTCATATCTGTTTATTTGGCCTAATTTTGTGGCTTTTTACCCTAGATCACCATGATCTTCTCTTTTATAGCACCCTAGGGTCGTGACTACATTAGTCACACTTCATTACCTCTTTTGATTAGTTACCAAACCCCCAAACTTATTTCTTTTCAATACTTGGGTTATGGCACTAACGATTCACTTTTTCTCCAAAAACCTTGCATTGTTTATGACTCTCTTTTGAAGATAGCTTTAATCGCTCATAAAATAAGTAAGGATAAGAAAACAGAGGTTCATTATGATGAAAATGGTTTACACAAAGAAAGGCTTAACTTAGGCTCAAATGGGTTGACTAAGGATGAATACATGTAGAGGGATGGTTAGAAAGGCTCAAATAGTTCAAACATGGCCTAAATCACTTCCGAAGCATTGTGTGGCAACATAATGTCTCAAAAGATATTCAAATAAGTTCTAGAGTCCGAAACCAAGATCATGAGATAAGTAGAATTGCATAACGTCCTCAAGTAGCAAGAAATTGGACTAACTCGACAAAGTGCTCAATAACTGCAAGGATGGCATGCTAGACAGAGTTAACTCAGAATCACACAAAGACCTTAAACAATGACTATCAATTTCTGAAAAACCATATTAGTATTAAATCCAAGTTTTATCATAGGTGTCTGGAACAACACACAAAATCCTGCGTTTTTAGACACTAGACACACTCAAAAAATTTAAAATTTGACAATTTGAAACAACATAACCAAATCCTTCCCCCAAAACTTAAATGAAACATTGTCCTCAATGGTTAAAGTGTAAGAACAAGCAACGCCTCATAAATGAAAGGAAAGAAGATAAGAAAAATACATAACCAAAGGTTAAAGTTCAAAAAAACTTCCCTTTGAAGCGATTAGGATGCAAGCAGGCTTCCTCGCTCATTCTATCTTCCCCTCGTCACCTTGGGGTGCCTTCCAAGAAGCGCGAAGTTTCATGTCTTCAGCCGGACATCCAAACTTTGGTGAGCTTTAAGAGAGTGGTGGAGGCTCCTTGAATGCTTGAGACTCAATATTCGCA